TGGATAGTCCCCCACTTTCTGTCCCACCCCCCCAGGACACAATAGTCCCCCATATGGGGGACATGGAGTCCGGCCGGACATGGAGGCCGGCGCGACTAAAAAAAAATCAAACGGCGGATAAGGAGCACTATTTTGGATTACAATCCAAATAGTGGATAGTCCCCCCCATAGTCCCCCAATCAAACAAAGGCCTATATCACTATGTTATAAAAAATTTTGTAATAATTAATAATAATAATATATATTTAGTGTTGGGAAAAATTAATGTTTTCTAAACTTTTATCGACAATTTTTCTAGTATGTGTTCCATGTCTTACACTCGCCTAAGTTACAATTTTGGATTCATTCCTAATCCTATTATATGGCTATTTATTGTTGGGCAAATTTCATTTTGCTTGGATATATATATAGGGCCAGTCCAATAAAATGACCATCTGATACCGAGGGTGTGCCTACCTGTAATACCCCTGTTCTATAGGATGCTAATTGGTCCTTAATACGAGTATGATGATGTGTTTAAATATGATTTTATGTGTCATTTTATGAATATATGTGATTTCGAAGTTCTATCTGTTCACTAGGAATATCTGTTTGAATAATCTTGCTTTAGAAATTAAATTGGAGGCCTTATCGGCCACAAATTCGAAATCGATTACGCCATTGTGATTAGCATAATTTTTAGAACCTACGTGAATTTAATTAGAAATTGATTTGGATCAAAATAATTAGATTCAAAACGATTAATTAGTCCCATTACCTTATTATATATTATTATAATGCCAATAGTGGGTTTGTTGGGTAAGGGCACTACACCCTCTATTCTCCGTTCTTGCTTCATTTGACTGATTTGGGACTCAAATTAGAGGAGAGTCGGCTGTAGAGAGGGAGAAAGGAGAGAATTGTGCAAATTGTAGCTTAAAGCTTGGGAACCTTGAAGATAATCCAAGAATTATTATAGATTGTGAGAATCAAAGCTTCTAGGTGAGTAATTCTTGGATTATAGTTTGTAATTTTGGTGTGTCAAGCTAATTGGGTGATCAAGAGTAAGATTGAAATGAAATTGGGTTGGTTTTGTTGAATTAAAGCTTGACATATGCATGCATGTAAGAAATTGTGTTGAAATAGCATGTATAAGCTTGACATACATGATTCAAGTAGAGTTTTGGTTGAAACTCATGTTTGATCACCATTGTTGTTGTCTAAGTTGAGAATTCTCTATCATTTTCTTTTTTTGTTATTGTTTTATGTTTTCATGAACAAAAATAGTAAAAAGTTCATAATCACCTATTGCTTGCTTTCATTTTTGTGTAAAGTAGTCTTCAAAAATTCAAAAAAATCATGAAAAGGGGTTTATTCAAATTATTATTATTATTATTACAATCAATCTACCGAACAAATATTGCACACCAATTTCCTATTTTTATGTTTTTGAAAAAAAAAAAAGAGATTAAACATGCGAAATTCTCAGCTACTTGTTTTTTCACACATGAGATTTTTTACTTGATGATGAAAGGAAACCCTACTTATTTGGGGAGACAAGGACAATATCTTCCCTCTACGTTTGGGCCATCAATTGCAAAGGTAATCTTTTGGGTCTCCCTTAGATCATATCTTGCATATTCAATAAAAAGTATATGATCATTGTTCTATATTGTTGGAATGCATATGCAGGCATTTGGGACCAAAATCAAAGTTAAAGATAATTAAGGACACAGGACATGCAGCAAATGTCGAATCTCCACATTTGTTGAATGATTTAATCAAATCATTTGTTTTGGGTAGCCCAAAGCTTGATGTCTAAGATCCAAATGGCAAATAAATGTAATATATATATATATATATATATGTATTGTAGATCTTAATTACTACATTGTAAGAGAGAGAGAGAGAGAGCCAATGAATTGTTGTGGTTCTTCATCATCATCAGTCTCATTTTAATTTTGAAACTGCAATTCAAGTAATAATGTACCTCTTTGCAAGCCAAAAAGATTTCATTGAGCCTAGCTTCTGCAAATTGCTTAGCTTTGTAACACCATATGAGATAGTGAGTGACTAACCTAATGTAGAGGTCAAATTGATGAAATTGAAATTGTTTTACCTTATGTTCTCTTCCTTCAAAAAATGAAAGGTAAACAAAATTTTACACAGATTGTAGTGACATTTTTTATAATCAAAATCATTATCTTAGTTTCTTTTTCTTTCTTTTTTTTGGATCATAAATAATTATCTTAGTTTGAAAATTGAAAGAATAACAAAAAGTATATATAAATTCAATTTTTATAATGATGATACTATATCTCAGTTAATGGGTGGCTTGTGAACTGGGCTAAACAATGACTTGATAGATTGTTTGGGTTTGATCTTCTGCCTCAAGCAACCTGCAAAACAAGCCCTATGGATGCACCAAGGGTTGTCCGCACTAAGGGCCTATTTGATTGCGTAGATTATTAATCTAAGGGATTCACATTCCATTGTTTGGTTGAAATTTGCTATTTGAATTAGATATTACGGACATTTTATACAACAAAACTGGCAGCTTTTTAATCTTACAACCAATAATGCAAAATATATATAATTGAGGTTATATATTTTCGTACTTATTGCAAAGCAAATGTGGACAAGAGAATAATTTATATTACTAATCTAGTTGGATAACCAATCCTATATATAGAATTTTTATGTGAAGAAGAGCTAAAGGTGAAAGGCAATGGAGACTAAGAGATTTTTACATAGTGTGTAACCTTGCATAACGTACCTCCCTTATATAAACATGTGTAGTTTGTATCTTGTGGAAGATCTCTTTGTATGATTTGGGAAGTAATGATATATATAGGCACTCTAATCACTCAAACAAAGCTTGGATCTTATCAACCAAAAACAAAGCAAAGTTCAAGCTCACAAAAATGAAAAGAGGAAAGGAATGACCCATAACTATGGATTGCCTTTGTGTAGAATTTTTATGTTTTCCTCTCTTTAAACATTTATGTTTTCCCACATCAATTATAAGACTCTCTTTGATTGTTTTATCCTCTTTGATTGATACAAGTATTTTGGCTTATGCATGTCTTAGCTCACACACTCTAGTTGATATGACCACATTTGTAGAAACCCCATCACGTAATATGCTTATATCTATTTAATTTTGAATTTTAATTATGTGTTTGATGTGTAATTAGTGCATATCTGTTCGTTTGATGAATTATTTGTTATGATTTATGCTTTAAATCTGAAATTGAAAGCCTTAATGACTTCATAAACCAAAATTGGTGAGTTTAATTAGGATGGCATAATTTTTAGGACCTATTGAAAAGTTTGATTAAAATTTGATTCAGTTTAATTAAATTAAGTTTTGTTTAGTTAGCCTTAAGCTCTAATTAATCCCTAATTAGTGTATTAAGTTAATCAAACCTATATATATGAAGAGACGAGTTGAATTAATCATATTTTGTACGCAAATCTGCTGTAACAAAATTTTAGAGAGAGAAAAAGAGAGAGAGCTCATTTTAGAAAGGCTTAAACTTAGAGACTTTGCTAGAAGATTGAAGATTTGAGAAGTGGAGCTCAAGTTTTTGCTAGAATAAATGTAATTGAAGGCTCTAGGTAAGTTTTGATTCTCAAATCATGAATTTAAATCATCTAACTTATGAATTCAAGAAGATTATGAGATTAAACACAAGAATTGAGCTAAAGATGATGAATTTGAAAGCTAGGCATACATGCATGCATGATTTTGAGAAGTTTCATCATTTTTAAGCATGATTTTGTTAACTATGTTTGAATTGAGAGTCGAATCATCCATGCTTCCATAATTCATAGAATTTTAAAGATGAATTTCATGTTTTGGAAATTTAGAATAGAGTTTAAAGCTAATTTATACATGCATGGGAATTTCATATGATAACCTCAATTATATAACTTGTGCTCTGATACTACCTTATTGCTCTAATGGACTAGTGTATGAGATAATAAATCGTTCTCTTATACCACTCTATCACGACCCAAACCCACCCCTAGAGGTCTAGGTCATGACCGGCCAGTAATCCTAGATTACCTTCAGCCTCAAAGACAAAATGAAATCATTATATAAATTATGAGGCTCAGCGGAAACAATAAAATTAATTAAATGAGTCCACTAAGCCATATATGAAAAATTGTCCAAATGAGCAATGGAGTGTCTAGAAAATATCTAAGTTGCATTCGTGTGGCAAATATGTGCTTGAATGCATTAAAAATATGCTAAAGTGATCCAAAATATATGAATTGTTGCTTAATTGTATGTTTGTGCTCTTTCTATACATGAATATTGTGTATACTTTCTGTATAAATTATATTACAAGTCTCATTAGATAATGGTGAGAACAAAAGCCAATGAGCTAGAAGAATCCTCCTCTGCTTGTCTAGACCGAATGGAGAGGATGATGCAGGACATGACAAAAACATTGAGGCAACAACAACAGTGGCAACAACCGCCACCCCTGTGTTCGATACAACCTGTACAAGATTTGCAAAATGATGACTGAACAATAGCTCTCACTAAAGAATTCAAGAAAATGAAGCCACCACTATTTCATAGGAGTGTGGACCCATTGAAGGCCGAAGCTTGGGTCCTCAGTATTGAAAATTTGTTTGAAGTATTCCCATGCGTTGGAACACAGAAAGTACAGTTGGCCACCATTACACTGGAAGATGAAGCAAGAAGGAGATGGATACTAATTCGAGATGATAACAAGGGCACGGTTTCTTGCACTCTTTTATGATAAATATTTCCCACAGTGTGTCTGCGATTAAAAAGTGTTTGAATTTGAAGGGCTGAAGTAAAGCAATATGACTATAGCTGAATATGAGGCCAAGTTCACTAAATTGGCTAGATTTGCTCCGCATATGGTTGACACCGAATATAAAAAGGCGAGAAAGTTTGAGGGTGGTCTCTGCAATGATATTCAAGAGAGAGTGAATGTTCTGAAACTACCTACTTATGTTGATGTGTTAGGTCGAGCTTTAATGTCAGAAACTAATATGGCCAATCATAGTAAACCGCTAGTTGGCTGGAAAAGTAAGAGACAAGGCTTTTTCTCAAAGAAGAGATTGTCGAAAAAGCAAAATACGGGATCCTCAAGTACTTCGGGCTCCACCAAAGATACGGCACCAACATGTAATTAGTCTGGTAAGAAATATCGTGGGGTTTACTACCGTATTTCCGGGGCTTGTTATAAATGTGGTACAATGGGACATATAACAAGAGATTGTACCCAAACTAAACAACAAAGAAGTGGAAAATCGGTTGCTAGCTCAACCGGGTCAATTACAATACCAGGGAACACTAGGAGGCCTACTACTACCAGAGACACAATAAGGCAAGGGAGAGTCTTTGCACATGTCCCAAATGATACACGAAATATTGAAGCTGTTGTCTCAGGTACTATCTCTATATAACAAATGCCTCCCAATTCATCCCAATACGGCCCTTGTTGAATTTCCATCACTGACCTGCATCACCCTTGAGCTGAAAAGTTGCCAAGGTCACCCTCAATCCATCCTAATCAATGCCAAGTATCTCAAAGGTTTTAACCATCTGTTCAAACCATTCATCATCCTTCAGTGGCTCTTTGGGATCACCCACAAACTCATCTGGATTTGACCGGAAAAACTCTCTTGAGAAAGGAAGGTCCTGTCTCAGCCACGTAAGCTTGGACTTGATTATCAACATTGAAAATGGCTATCGACTCCTTCAATGCCCCTGCCATCTCTCAAGCTAAAGCACCCATGGCTTGCCAACCTACTGGCTCGGCCATATTAGCTTGACCAACTTCTTCCTCCTGTATCGAAATCTCATCCTGAACCAATCCTTCCCGACGTCGAGGCCTACTACGTTTACCTCCTCCATATTCACATCCTAACATCCTAACAAAAGTAACACAAACAATTTAGCACACTCACAGATGTGTCATAACTAAAACATCAAATCCTACTATAGTAGACAACAAAGAAATTCACTCCACATAAGCACCAAGTCACATAATCACAAACGGACTTTTTTTCCCAAATAATAACCATCCCACTACATTGCCAGAGTTCCTGTTAGAATTAGCAGTGATCAAATACTCTTGTAACGGGACTTTTAGAAATTCACAGACACAATCAACACCTTAGAAACTAAATCCCATACCCACTTAATCATATAAACATGTTATCAAATAGCATACCAGGTAAACATTCACTACCGCCCAACGAGACAACCCATTGTGGCAAAAACCACATCCCATGAGCCCAAAGTATTCAAACTCGGTAAACTTTGATACCCAGTTGTAACGACCCAAAACTTTAAAAAAAATCATAGATTGTGATACAGGAGCAAAAATAAACCAACATCTTATACATTAAAGCTCTTAATGTTTTATAGCCTTAACAAACCAACCCGTCTGCATGATATAATCACAGAACTTATAGCATGAGTTTATAGCATCAACACTTAACTATTACACTTTCATGCCTTAATGGCTACAAATTTCCAAGGTCGCACTTGGATACAACAAAAGTGGGTCTTAATGCCCAAAATATAGAAGCCTGAGGCTACTACAAAATATATTACACAAGACGAGCATTCAGCTTCAATTTCCTTCCAAGCTATCCCCTTGGCGAAGGCAAACCATTATCACCTGAAATGTTTTTCCACATAGAGTGAGCTAAAAACCAGTAGAAATAAGTTTAATAATCGGTATGATACTTAACCAAGCCATATGGTGAATGCATATGAAATGACATTATCAACACCATGCATGGTTTCCTTTCAAAATGATTACTATGCTAGAGTTTTGAAATCACAAGTTACATGCAAATCAATCTTTTAAAACAGCAAAGAGGGCAGTAAATACGGACACTGGAAATCTCTAGGTATGCGTATAAAGAAACAAGCTATAAAACCACTGCCATTTCCAGTTTACTAGTATTTCGCCAGTGGGATCGAGAACCATGTAAACGTAGGCTATACGAGCACTATTTTTGCCACTTCATTGGCACTATCCGAAAGCAAGACATCCTAACCACGTGGGTTTCTGGGAC